AACAACAACAACAACAACAACAACAACAACAACAACAACAAATAAAGTGCTTAGAGGATAAGTAGCCTTCTAAAGACCATAGAGCTAGTCAGTTGTAGAACCAGGCCTCAAACTCAAGTTTGAACAACTCCAAAGACTGAGAACTTTTCACTATACCACATTTGAGATTCCTTTTATGAGTTTATTATTATTATTATATTTTTTAAGTTTTTCACAATGAACAAATCTACTATTTCATCAAATTGAATATGTGTTCTAGCATAAGGCATTCTTTATTCACTGTACATATTAAGTCCAATGTGATCATTGATCTCAAGGTCAATTAAGTGTTTATAATTTTAAAGAAAGAACACCAGGGTTATCACATGAGGTGAGTCAAGCAATAGGATATACGAATAATATTTTACAATTAAAAAACTAACTAGATGAGATAGGTTTTATCAGTCTATTTAGGATTGGTGAAGGTCTGTGGCGAAGTACAGTTGGGATATTGGGTAGTTGAAGAAAAGGATGAGCATGACTCAGTGTAAAGCTAGAAGTAGAACGTAGAGAGTGGTCACATTTATCTGAGGAGTGGACTAGAATATGAGTTCTTTGAGGTTTTATCTGCTTTGTTCTCTGCTTTATCTCCAGAGTCTACACTAGTTTCTGTTACAAATAAATATTTTTGGAATAAATAAATGGATGCTATGCTGAAAATGATGGGTAAAGATGATACTATGATAAGAAAAGGCAAAAGAATTGACTAATCTGGGGCAACACTGGAGGTGTCCCCTCAGCTTAGAATTTCTTCCCCTTTTTTCTCTGCCTGGCTAAATTTTATTAATCTATTTGGGCTCACCTCAAACATCACCAATTCTGTGAAGATTTCCTGGACCCCTAGACAGAATTGTCCACTTTAGTACTCTGAGTCTTGGAATGGTCTGTCTCCTCCACCAGCCTAACCACCCATCCACTGCCATTGAGTGGACCCGATTCATAGCAATTGTTTATGACAGAGTGGAACTTACTCATATGGTTTCCAATGCTGTAAATCTTTACAGAAGCAGACTGCTTCATCTTTCCCCTGTGGAGCCACTGGTAGGTTCGAACCACCAACATTTTGGTTAGCAGCCAAATACTTTAACCACTATGCCTCCAGAGCTCCTTACCAATCTAACAGTGTTTGTGTTGCTGCTGTCTCTGAGAGAACTAAATGAAGTTGACATTTAATACATTTTCACTGAATGAGAAAATGCATGAATGAAATGAAAACTAAGTTTGGGGATGTGGAGGAGGAAGACATGAAGTAAAAATGATGGCAGGGTTTGGCATAAGATTAGATACTCAGTACAAGGAGTGGTGACTTAAAAATTCCTTTGATATTTCTTGACTTTTTGAGTGGGGTTGTTTTGGCATTCTCAGTGTTTTATTTAAGATTATAAGAGGGAAGGAACAACAACAACAACAACAACAAAAAATAAAGCAAGAAAAAAGTAATCTAAGTAACTGATGCATAAGAAGATCTTACGCAATAAAAATAAAGCAAAACAAATCATTAAAACAAATTCCAAATCTTTCTTTCTGTATATATGGTAAGCTTTGTAAAATGATCATCAAACATTTCTATAGTTACTTTATGTACTCTTTCAGTGCACCAACATTTATTGACATAACATTCGTGTACCTGAAAAGCAGTACAATTAAGGATAGATACGAGATTACCCAAAACTCTTTCGTTTAAGAGAAGCCTTTAGAGAAACAGAAATGGTGATACCTAATTCTACCATCTGACTACAAAGAGTTTGTCAATGTTTCTTATACTGTCTGCCCTCCTGGAGGTCTGCTGGTTTGCTACTGGGGGATGAGATGTGAGATGGAGCAGCAATGGAATGGGAGGGCTGGCAGTGCTCCCTATCCCTTACCTCACCAATCCAGTGGTCTTGCCCTTTGCTCTCGCTTGTGAGTAGAGTGCTCGGCCCACACTTTTCTCCTTAATGGAACTGGTAAATGTTGTGCCATCTACCGTCCTAGGAAATGACAGAAGACAATCAGTTGGTCAGAAGAGCAGTCTTAACAAAACAAACAAACAATAAGGAAACAACACAATGAGGTTGATTTAATCAGTGGGTGGGGGGTGGGGGTGGCAATTGACATTTTGCAATTCTAAGAAACAAGAAGAGATTATTTAACATTGGAATATTTCACAGAGCAGGCTCCCTTTATCTTGCTGTGTGATTTGAGAGGACTTTGTAGGCTCTGAGGAAGTTTGGTGGCATAGTGGTTAAAACATTCTGCTGCTAACCAAAAGGTCAGTGGTTGGAATCCACCAGCTGCTCTGCAGAAGAAAGAGGAGGCAGTCTGTTTCCATAAAGATTTACAACTTTGGAAACCTTACCAGGACAGTTTTTACTCTGTCCTATAGGGTGGCTATAAGAAGCTCTGATGACAGTGGGTGGGGGGTGGGGGTCCAGATGGTATCTCGTTGTTTGGATTTGCATCTCTCTGGTAGCGTAGTGCCTAAGGCACTTGACTGCTAACCAGAAGGCTGGCGGTTCAAACCCACCAGCCACTCCTCGGAAGGAAGATGGGGCAATCCACTTCCGTAGTGATACTGCCTCGGAAACCAAGGAAGGGTCTCTATGAGTCGGGTCTGACTTGATGACAAATAACAACAACAACAATATCCAGGATCTTAATGACTCTTGCTGAGGAATACTTTTAGGCTTACCCCTTTAGATGAGAGAAATGAGACCCAAGGAGTCAAGTAATCTGATCAAGGTCACACAGCTGGTCACAGACAATGCTAGAACTGGTAGCCAAGTGTCTAGGTCCATTAAATCACTCTAAGGCTCAAAGACTAAAGAGTCTCAGGACAGAATGAAACCATGTCCCATGGTAGAATACTTGAGACCTTGATAAAAATGCAGAAGAAATATTTTGGCTGAATATGGAGGTCTGTGTAGTCTATTTTAAACTGTGGTGATATATGCAACCATCTTCTCTTATCTTATAAACCTAGTCCTGAATAAGGGAGATCAAAATAAATGTATGAAGAAGATATCCTTCTAAAAAGAAGGACATAGCCAGGTCCACATCTGAAAAAAAAAAAGCCACTGAAAACCTTATGAACAGCAGTGAAACATTGTCAGACATAGTGCCTGAAGTTGAGCCCCTCAGGTTGGAAGGTCCTCAAAATACTACTGGGGAAGAACTGCCTCCTCTATAGAGTCAGCCGTAAAATGTGGATGCAACAAAACATTCTGGACCTTCATTTGCTGATGTGGCTTAATTCAAAATGAGAAGAAACAGCTTCAAACACCCATTAATAATCAGAACGTGGAATGTAGGAAGTACAAACCTAGGAAAATTAGAATTTGTGAAAAATGAAATGGAACACACAAAGACTGATATCCTAAACATTAGTGAGTTGAAATGGACTGGTATTGGCCCTTTGAATTGGACAATCTTATGGTATACTATCTACCACTCATCTGTCAGTTTGTCATACTGTGGTGAGAAGAAGGAAGGCATCATCTACTTTTCAAAGAATTGGCCAGTGAAAACCTTATGAATAGCAGTGAAACACTGTGTGACATATACCCAGAAAATTTATGATTAGCCTTGAAATGTTGTCCATTATAGTGCCAGAACATGAGTACCTCAGGTCAGAAGGCACTCAAAATATGACTGGGAAAGAGCTGCCTCCTCAGAATAGACTCAACTTTAATGAAGTAGATGGAGTAAAGCTTTCAGAACCTCCATTTGCTGATGTTGCATGACTTAAAATGGGAAGAAACAGCTGCAAACATCCATTAATAATTGGAACATGGAATTGGTAAGAATTATGAATCTAGGAAAATTGGAAGTTGTCAAAAATGAAATGGAATGCATAAAGATTGATATCCTAGGTATGAGGGAGCTGAAATGGACTGGTTTTGACCATTTTGAATCAGACAACCATATAATCTACTATGCAAAGAATGACAAATTGAAGAGGAATGGCGTGGCACTCATCATCACAAAGAATGTTTCAAGATATATCCTGATGTACAATGCTATGAGTGACAGGAAGTATCCATATGCCTACAATGAAGACCAGTTAATACTACTATTGTTCACATTTACACACCAACCACCAAAGCCAAAGATAAGGAAATTTCAGACTTCTGCAGTCTGAAATGGACCAAACATGCAATCAAGATGTGTTGATTATTACTGGTAATTGGAATGTAAAAGCTGGAAAAAAGAAGAATCATCAGTAGCTGGAAAATATGGCCTTGGTGATAGAAATGACTCTGGAAATCACATGACAGAATTTTGCAAGACCAAATACCTTTTTTCAACAACATAAATGGCAGCTATACACATGGACTTCACCAAATGGGGTATACAGGAATAAGATCAACTACATCTGTGGACAGAGGTGATGGAGAAGCTCATTATCTTCAGCCAAAACAAGGCCAGGAGCTGACTATGGAACAGAATGTGGACATCAACTGCTCATATGCAAGTTCAAGTTGAAGCTGAAGACAATTAAAACAAGCCCACAAGAACCAAAATATTACCTTGATTATATCCTTTCTGAATTTAGAGACCATCTAAAGAATAGATTTGATGCATTGAACACCAATGACTGAAAATTGTAGGAATTATGGGATGACATCAAGATCATCATCCATGAAGAAATCAAAAGGTCATTAAAAAGACAGGGAAGGAAGAAAAGATCAAAATGGATGTCAGAAGAGACTCTGAAACTTGTCCTTAAATGTTGTTGCTGTTGTTCTTATGTGCTGTCGAGTCGGACCTGACCCATAGTGACCCCTCCTTGAGTTGCTGAAGCAGTATCACTACGGAAGTAGATTGCCCCATCTTCCTTCCGAGGAGTGGCTGGTGGGTTTGATTAGCAGTCAAGTGCTTTAGGCACTATGCTACCACATGGAGAGTAGCTAAAGCAAATGGAAGAAATGACAAGATAAAAGAACTGAACAGAAGATTTCAAAGAGCAGCTTGAGAAGACAAAGTCAATTATACTGACGTGTGCAAAGACTTGGAGTTAGAAAACCAAAAGGGAAGAACACGTTCAGCATTTCTCAAGCTGAAGGAACTGAAGAAAAAATTCAAGCCTTTTGTTGCAATGTTGAAAGATTCTATGGGCAAAATATTGAATGATGCAGGAAGCATCAAAGAAAATGGAAGGAATACACAGAGTCACTATACCAAAAAGAATTGGTCAATGTTCATCCATTTCAGAAGGTGGCATATGATCAAAAACTAATGGTATCAAAGGAAGAAGTCAAAGCCATACTGAAGGAATTGGCAAAAAACAAGGCCCCAGGAATCAACAGAATACCCACTGAGATGTTTCAACAAATGGATGAAATTTGGAAGACAGTTACCTGGTCAACTGACTGGAAGAAATCCATATTTGTACCCATTCCAAATAAAGAGAATCCCACAGAATGTGGAAATTATCAAACAATATCATTAATATAATATGTAAGTAAAATCTTGCTGAAGATAATTCAAAAACAGTTGCAGCCATATATTCACAGAGAACTTTCAGAAATGCAAGCTGGATTCAGAAGAGGATGTGGAAAGAGGGATATTATTGCTGATGTCAGGTGGATCTTTGCTGAAAGCAAAGCATACCAGAAACATGTTTATTTGTGTTTTATTGACTATGCTAAAGCATTTGACTGTGTGGATCATAACAAATTATGGATAATACTGAGAAGTATGGGAATTCCCAAACACTTAGTTGTGCTCATGAGGAACCTGTACATAGATGAAGAGGATGTCATTTGAAAAGAACAAGGAGATACTGCATGGTTTAAAATCAGGAATGGTCTAGTCAGGCTTGTATCCTTTCACTTACTTACTCAATCTGTATTCTGAGCAAATACTCTGAGAAGCTGGACTTCTCAGAGAAAATGGAATGAATACATAGAGTCACTGTACCAAAAAGAATTGGTCAATGTTCATTCATTTCAGAAGGTGGCATATGATCAAAAACTAATGGTATCGAAGGAAGAAGAATGTGGCATCAAGATTGGAGGATGAATCATTAACAACCTGTGATATGCTGAAAACACAACTTTGCTTGCTGAAAGTGAGGATGACTTGAAGGACTACAGTCTGCAGTATGAATTACATCTCAACATAAAGAAAACAAAAATCCTCACAACTGGACAATAAGTCACATCATGATAACTGGAGAAAAAATTGAAGTTGTCAAAGATTTCATACTACTTGGTTCCACAGTCAACACTGATGGAAGCAGCAGTCAAGAAATCAGATGGCATATTGCTCTGGGCAAATCTGCTGCAAAAGTCCTCTTTAGAGCAAAGATGTCTCTTTGAAGACTAAGGTGCACCTGACCCAAGCCACGGTATTTTCAGTAACCTCATATGTGTATCTGCTAGCCAGATGGCTGGTGGTTCAAACCCACCAGCCACTCCTCGGAAGGAAGTTTGGGCAATCCTACTTCCGTAGTGATACTGCCTCGGAAACCCAAGGAGGGGTCGCTATGAGTCAGGTTTGACTCGACGGCACATAACAACAACAACAACATATGTGTGTGAAATATGGACAATGAATAAGGAAGACAGAAGAACAGTTGATGCTTTTGAGTTGTATTGTTGGTGAAGAATACTGAAAGTACCATTGACTGCCAGAACTAACAGATCTGTCCTGAAAGAAGTGCAGCTGGAATGCTCCTTTGAAGTGAGAATGACTAGACTTTGTCTGACCTACTTTGGTCATCTTGTCAGAAGGGCCCTGGAGAAGGATATCATGCTCAGTAAAGTGGAAGGTCAACAAAAAGGGGAAGATCCTCAATGGGATTGACACAGCGGCTGCAATGATGGGCTCAGATATAGCAAGAATTGTGAGGCTGGCACAGGACTGGGCAGTGTTTTTTTGTTGTCGTTGTACATAGCGTCATTACGAGTCTGAGCCAGCTTGACGGAACCCAACAACAACAACAACATGGTATACTATGCCAGGAATGACAAGAGGAATGGCATTG